GCATTTTTTCCAACAACTTGCACAAGGGGTTCACCACTTTTAAGAAATCCTTGATGAACCGACGGTAAAACCCTCGTGACCTAGAAAGCTCCTCACTCCTTTTGACGGAAGTAGGCAAAGGGAGTTTTGATATCACTTCAATTTTTGCTTCATCCACTTCAATACCACAATGAAGATCTTGTGGCCGAGGACAATGCCCTCCTTGACCATAAAGTGGCACTTCTCCCAATTAAGCACCATGTTGGTCTCTTCACAACGTGCCAATACCTTATCAAGATTATCCAAACACGCTTCAAAAGAATCCCCCGCAACAGAGAAATCATCCATGAAAACCTCGAGAAAGTCCTCCACCATATCCATGAATATTGCCATCATACACCACTAAAAAGTAGCTGGTGCATTACATAAACCAAACGGCATCCTCGAGAATGCAAATGTGCCATACAGACAAGTGAAGGTGGTCTTTTCTTGGTCTTTAGGTGCAATAAGAATCTGGTTATATCCGGAATACCCATTCAAGAAGCAATAATAAGCACGTCCGGCTAGCCTATCCAACATCTGATCAAGAAATGGAAGCGAAAAATGGTCTTTCCGAGTAACTTTGTTGAGCTTCCTATAATCCATGCATACTCTCCAACCGGTGACAGTTCATGCGGGGATTAACTCATTTTTGTCATTTGTAATAACAGTTATGCCCCCTTCTTTGGGACACATTACACCAGTGAAGTCCATGAACTATCAGAAATGGGGTAGACAACCCCAGCATCCAACCACTTGATGATCTCTTTCTTGACTACCTCTTGCAAGGCCTCATTCAACCTTCTTTGATGTTCCACGGAGAGTTTGGCATCCTCGTCCAATATGATTTTGTGCATGCGGTCTTATACCTCGAATATCCGCCAATGTCCAACATATTGCCTTCTTCCTCCTTTGGAGTACCGCAAGGGTGGAATCTACCTGCACGTTAGTTAAGCATGAGGAAAGCATAACAGGTAAAGTGGAACAAGGACCTAAGAACTCATACATGAGGTGTGAAGGAAAGGGCTACAACCCCAACGTGGGAGGCTCCTCGATTGAGAGCTTTGTTGGTGGAGTCTTCCAGTTCTCAAGGTCCAAGGAAAGTTTTCCGGGCTCATATGTATATGATCCCATTCCTTGCAAAGCATTGACACATTCTACCAAGCCTTCCTTCTCATCCTTATCATGATTCAATAATACAGCTTCCAATGGGTCTTCAACATTAATCATAGCACCTGTGTCATCAACAATTACTTCAGTCACAAGATCCACAAACGAACACACTTCGTTGCTATTAGGCTGCCTCATTGACTTGCAAACATGGAACACAACTTTTTGATCGCCCACCCGGAAGGTGAGCTCCCCAGCTTCCACATCAACTAAGGCCTTACCTGTAGCTAGGAAAGGTCTCCCCAAAATATTTGCTCCTCAAAGTTAACCTCACAGTCAAGTATCATAAAATCTGCGAAAAGTATGAACTTGTCCACCCGAACTAGCACATCATCAATTATCCCCAATGGCCTCTTCATTGTCCGGTCCGCCATTTGCAACCTCATGGATGTGGGTCTTGGTTTCCCAATCCCCGATGTCTTGAATACATAATAGGGCATCAAGTTAATGCTTGCCCCCAAGTCACACAAAGCTTTGGCGAAATCGGCACTACCAATAGTGCATGGGATTGTAAAGGCACCGGGGTCTTCTAACTTTTGAGCCATGTGCACAATGGCACCACTTGATGTGTCATTTTGATCATTTCACAGTTCATTAATCTCTTCTTTGTTACCAAGTCCTTCATGAACTTGGCATATCCAGGCATTTGTTCTAAGGCTTCAACCAATGGTACATTTATGGACAAACTTTTCATCATATCAATGAATTTCTTGAATTGATTCTCATTGTTTTGCTTTGCAAGCCTTTAAGGATATGGTGTAGGAGGCCTTGGCAAAGGAGCCTTGGCTTTGGGCACTAACGGATCCGGTATGTCTATCACATGTTTCCTAGATGGGTTCACATCATCTTGTGTCTCCTCCACATTTTCATCAATGTCTATCCTCACTTCATCATTTACTTGAACATCATTGCTTGGCTCATCATCATCTTGCATCACCACATCATCATTCACAATCTTTCTTAAGTTTGAGGTACTAGCAACTCCACCTTTCCCACTTCTTGTAGTCACCACCATAGCATGCCCCATATTGTTCCCACCCTTCGGGTCTACTACCGTATCACTTGGTAGTGCCCCCTTAGGGCGAGTATTAAAGGCTTGAGAAATTTGGCCAAGTTGGACTTCCAAGTTGCAGATAAAAGTGTTGTGGGATGCTAATTGGGCATCAGAGTCGGCATTTTTCTCCATCATTCGCTTGAACATGTTTTGAATCTGTCCCATCTCATTGTTGGAAGAACTAGGTCCTTGTGATAAATATGGAGGCGGGTTGTTCGGTTGTTGATACATCGGGGGCCTTTGAAAGCCCGACCCCCGATTTCCTTGATTATTGTTGTTCTAACCCCCTTGATTGTTATTGCCTCCCCAATTACTATTATTGTTGCCACCCTAATTGCCTTGATTTCCTTGATTACCCCAATTTTGAATGTTGTTGTTCCCCTAATTGCCTTGGTTGTTGTTGTTGCCACTATTTCAATTTCCTTGTTGACCTTTATTGCCCCAATTTTCTTGGTTTCCCTGTGATCTCCACTGTTGTTGATTTGGATCATTGCTCCGTTAACCTTGATGATTGTTGACATATTGAACCTCTTCACTTTGATCATCATATGAATCATCTTGATTGTACCCACTACCACTTTGCTCAAATTGATCCGAATTGTTTTGAACTTGTTTACCTCGTTGCCTTCTCTTGTTGACCATCATGTTCACTCCTTCCATGGCATTCACTTCTTTTGGCCCTTGAACTTGTTGAAGTTGAGCCTTGGCCAATTGATTCATTGTGGTTGTCAACTCCGCTATAGCTTGTCCGTGATCATGTAGCTCCCTGTGTAGGTGAATAACATTTGGGTCACCTTGAGGTACATTAGCTCTACTTTGCCAAGCCGAAGAGGTCTCCGCCATCTCATCCAATATTTCACAAGCTTCGGAATACGGTGTGGTCATGAAATTACCCCCGGCGAGTTGATTCACCACACACTAATTAGTTGTATTGATCCCCCTATAAAAGGTTTGTTGGATCATGGCCTCGTCATGTCGTTGTTAGGGCACTCTTTGACCATTGTTCGGTACCTGTTCCAAATCTCATGTAACGGTTCATTTGGCTCTTGTTTAAAAGCACGAATCTCATCTCTTAGCATTGCCATATGTCCGGGAGAAAAGAACTTTGCGATGAACTTCTCGGCCAACTCATACCAAGTGTGTATGGAATAGTTGGGTAACCTCTTTAGGTAATCCAAAGCCTTCCCCTTTAGAGAAAATGGTAAAAGCCTTAACCTCAATGCGTCCTCGGAGACATTAGTATGCTTGCTCCCCCAGCACCTGTCAACAAAACCTTTGAGATGCTTATAGGCATTTTGGTGTGGAGCTCCGGTGAAGAAACTCCTCTGTTCCAACAGTGTAAGCATGACATTGGTTATTTGAAAGTTGTCTGCCCTAATTCGGGGCAGGACTATTTCACTCGCATAGCCTTCATTGGGCAACAGCCTATGTGCTACCCTTGGATGAGGTAGGGGAAGGTTTGGGAAGTTGTCATGAGGCTGGCGGCCTCTCCTTTGTACTTGAGGTTCAAGATGAACCTCATCCACTTGTTCGTCATCTACCTCCTCCCCAATGGTATATTCCCGAGGGCTTCGTTGTTAAGAGCCATTTGGTACCTAAAAGTAACTAACACACAAACTTAGAAAAATCGAAGGAAAGAAAAACAAAACACACAAATACTAAGATATATAGCTAAGACCGTCTAACTCCCCGGCAACGGTGCCAAAATTTGATCGGGTCCAAGCTTACACTACTATTGAGTAGCGAGAGTGGTCGATGCAATTTTAACCCAACTAGGTCGGGATCGAATCCACGGGGAGTTAATGCTTGGAATTAGGTTTATATCTAAGCTAGATGCGGTCTTTGAGTCTAATTACACTTCCACAAATTTGTGTTTGATTTCTACTTCTAACTTTACTCTAAAGATTGCAATGATTGAAACTAAGGACAATATTTTTGTTGTTGCTTCAAGTGTTTAAATAGACTAGGGTTGTGACTTCTACCTAGGTGGATATCTAACGGGTAGCAAAATCTAGGGCAAGCTTGATTAGTTGGGATTGTAATATAGCTATCACACCCGGGTACTCACTCTATACCTCTCGGTAGTTTGACTGATTTTACCCAATTTGACTTTCTCAAGTCCAATGGGTATTCATACAAATCAAGTGATACTAGCTCAAGTCGGGTATCACTATCTCTAGATTTAACCCTTTCATTGGGGCTATCAATTTTATGAGTTCACCCCAATTCCTTGTTAGCCTAGTTGTCCTAGACTTAGTCCCACTTTCTCAAGTAGAGACTAAGTCATAAAGGCATGAATCAATGTTTGCAACCATTAATTCTATAGTTCTAGCAAGAACTAGGCTAAATATCACTAACCCATTCACATTCAAGCCCTAAAATCAAATACCCACACTAGGGTTGGGTCACAACCCTAGCTATGGGTTTAGCTCACTACAAGAAATGAGATTTTTTTTTGTCACGACTTTTAGCAGCGACAGATATAATTGCTACAAAAGAAAGGGTTTTTATGGCGACCAAAAAATGTTGCCACAAAAATGATAGATTAGTAGCGATCCTTACAGTCGCCATAGAAAATAACATATATAGTAGCGACTATATGTTGGTCGCCACAAAATATGAACTTAAGAACATGGATGAAAAAGTATTTGTAGCGAACTTGAAGAAGTTGCCTCTAAAAAGCTTTTGTGGCGACTTCTTCGCTACTAAAAGTGGAGTTTTTGTGGCAACCTTTATGTCACTTCTAATTCTTTTATTTTGACATTTGATTTTGTGAAAACTCAAAATGGTTCACCCCCACCAGTTCAGACCCAAAATTTCCTCTCTCGTTTCCCCCAAATCCCATTTTCCCCAATTCCCTCTTCCCCCTTCCATATTTCATCTTCCTCAAAAAATAGATTAATGTTTCTCACTGAACTCGTGTTCCCCAACATTAAAGGAATCCATTTTCCTCTCAGCCGAAAAAAATTCAATCTCATTTCTGTAAAGAGGAGTAGATTTGAAGGAGGTAGCAGAGGTCTATTTACCAAAAGCTAAAATTTGAGTAACATTGAGGTACAAATCATTCTTTTGTGTTGGTTTGATTTGGTTTCTTTCGAGTCGATTTGGCTGTTTTTTCTTGCATATCATATTTCATGAAAATACTCACATTTCCAGTCAATTCCAATTTATGTGCTTTCGAAGCAACGAAATAAATAAATTTCGACAATTCCAGATCTTGTGACTTCCTATTTCTAGGGTTTCATTGGTTCTCGCAGCTACTGTTGCACGGGAGGTTAAGCTGAGGTCTTTCTTTTCTATTTTAGGGTTTGTTATGCTATTTCTGCATTTTGTCGATCTTTCTGGATCTCTGAACAACTCTTGTTTTGTTGCCCTTGAAGGTTTTTCTGCTTGTAAAACAGGTGATCGACCGCGACCAGTACCATTTTTCTTCAGCTAGAGAAAATTTCTTTGGGGGTAAGTCAAATCTAGTTCTTTTGATGATGAATTGAATTTAGCCACTGAATTGTGTGTGTATTGTTACTACATCTAATTAGTTGTTTCTACATTTTTATTTCTATCAATTCTTTGTTCTGCTTCTTCTTTTGTTTATTTCAATTCTTTGTTTTGCTTATCTTTACTCTCTCTATGTGCGCGTGTTTTTGTTTTTTGTTTTGGCCTTTTATCTTTTATTGCAGAAGACTTGGAAAAGTTAAGGGACATCGAAATATCTGGGAAAATGAGAGAGTCCACCAACAACATAGAAGCAGTAATGAAAAGTCTAACTCTTCATCTGGTAGTTTGTACTCCTACGAATGATAGAGTTATATGCATGCATATGAAAGTCCACTTTGTACTCTTCATCTAGTAGTTTCACTTTGAAGTTAGTAAACTATAGTTGGAAAAGCACTTATTAGAAGAAGAAACAGAGAGAACATAGTGCAAATTGGGACAGCCTTAGGAATATGAAACATGACTCAATTTATATCAGCTACTCAAGAATTATTTCAAATGGTATGTTGTCAAACTATTCTTCCATCACAAAACTATGATATGACATCTATGAGATTTTTTTCTATCACAGAGAATATGATTAGTGTATAAGCAATAAAGAAAATTCATATTTTATATATGTATCATTGGTTGTTGGTATGTATTTATCATTTTTAATAGTTTGGGCACTTACATATGAGATAAACTAATTTTGGTCATCATTGTTAACGTGCTTTTTAAAAATATATTGACATGGTTACATCATTTCACTTGGGAGCGGCTAATATTATTTTCTTCTGATTTTATTTAGGGATTTTCGCTCCCTCCTTTGGCTGCATTCTAGGACATGAGAGCTTCTTGCTGCATTTTGAGGCCATATATTTTTCCGGAGGAAATGATGCTAGCAAAGGAGCTCAAATAGAATTTATTTTTGCTTTTTCTTTACGACGTTTCATGTGTATTCACAAATTCTATGTTATGAATTTTTAATAAAAATCTTTGATCACTTTGTTTGACAAATGCTTTGAATGGTGTCTCTTCTAATACAGTTGTGTAATTTAAATAGAAATATTGTTGCAAGTTAATTGTTTTAAGAAAAATAGTAAAAAATTAAGTTTTAGTAGCGACGTTTCATACAATAGTGACGATAAGAGCTGCCAATGAAAGTGTAATAGCTATAGCCGCCACAGAAAGTTATTCTTCAGTGGCGACCAGACAAAAATCTACCTTGTCATTGCGGATCTTCCGTACCTATTGTAGCGACTAAGCTCGCCACTAATGGATATGTTTTGTGGCGACCTCTAGGAGTCGTTACAAATAACATTCTGTGACGGTTTTGCTTGGAGCGACCCAACTGTCGCTTCTAATTGGTATCAGTGGCGACTTTTCGATACCACCAACTTGAGGGAGGGGGAGGGTATTGAGATTGGCTAATTATATAAAATGGCTAGTTAGTTGTAAAGTGGTTAGTTAAATGCAAAGTGGCTAGGCCAGACATTTAGTTAATTAGATAGGATACTATGTATATATATTCATTACAGGTATCAATAATATGTGAGGTTTATCTCCCACTTTTCCTTTATCCGTCTTCTCGAATGTTCTCTTTTTCTCTCTCTTACTTCGACCTCCATTTGTGATGACCTTTTGGGTCATCACTCGTTTTGAAAGTAAATTCTATGTTCCGATGCCTTAAAAACCTCTTTTGTCCTACCTCGATTTGCGTGCGCAGTCCGGGCGCGTTTTCGAAAAGTTTTTATGTGAAAACTAAGTAAAATATGGAAATTTGCTTTTAAAATTGAATAAAGTTGACTTTGGTCAACATTCTTGGTAAACGGACTCGGACCCGTGATCCGGCGGTCTCGTAGGGTCCGTAGTAAAATATGGGACTTGGGCGTGTGCCCGGAATCGAATTCTGAGGTCCCAAACCCGAGAAATGAATTTTTTTAAGAAAATTATTTTCTAGAAAATATAAAGGTTTTTAGAAGTGAATTGATGCATTTTCTTGATGGTATCAGGCCCGTATCTTGGTTTCGGAACCCGGTACAAGTTTGAAATAATGATTAAGTTGAATCTGTAAAATTTGGTAAAGATCGGAATTGGTTTGGTATAAAACGGACCTATAGTTGAGAAAATAGTAATTTTGATGATCTTGAGTGATTTCATGAATTTGAGGTCTAATTCATAGTTGTTGAGGTTATTTTAACGAATTGATCGCACGAGCAAGTCCGTGTGATGTTTTTGGACTTGCGTGCATGTTTGGTTTGGAGCCCCGAGGGCTCGGATGAGTTTTGGATAGGCCACGGAGTGAATTTAGACTTAGAACATAAGAGTTGCAGGTTCAGAGAAAGTTGCATGTCTCTGAAGCCAAGCTTCGCGATCCGCGGTGGGGTCTTCGCGACCGTGGTGGGCTCTTCGCGACCACGGTGGGATATATGCGGTTAGCGATGAGCAAGGCCAGTCTTCGCGGCCGCGCTCGATATTTCGCGGTCCGCGGTGGAGCTCCGCGGCCGCGATCCTTTTTCTGCGGTCAGCGGTGAGGATCTGAGAGGGGTATATATAAAGGAGCCTTTTCAGCCATTTTTCATTTTTCAAAAATCTAAAACATAAGAGGCGATTTTTCAAACACTCTTTCTTCCCCAAAACACAAGTAAGTGATTTTAAACTCATTTTTTTCACTCCGTAACTTCTTTTTATAAGATTTCATCCTAGAATCTAGAGTTTTCATGGTGGAATTGAGAATTTTGGGTAGAACTTAGGAATATTGAAATTTGGGGATTTAGACCTCGGATTTAGGTAGGATTCCAAAATCAATTATATATCTGGGCTCGGGGGTGAATGGCTAGTCGGGTTTTGGTCCGAATTTCGAGTTTGGACCAAGCGGGCCCGAGGTCGATTTTTGGCTTTTTGGGGAAATCATTTGAAAACCTATATTCATGCATTAGAGTTGATTCATTTAGCATTTATTAATAGAATCAATTAAATTGTGGCTAGATACAAGCTAATTGGTGGTGGAAACAAGAGGTAAAGCGGTAGTTGAGGCTTGAATTGTGTTCGTGGCATTGAGGTAAGTGTTTGGTCTAACCATATCTTGAGGGATTAGGAGTTGTGTCTTATTTGCTATGTGTTAATTGTTGAGTACGACGTATAGGCATGGTGACGAGTATCTATACGCTGGTGTCAAGCATGTCCGTGAGTCTTGTACTATGATAAATGTGACTCTGTTTCGTATTGTTCATGCTTTATATAATAATTTCTATTGTTGAACAAGGCTTGTGGAAGTATTATTGGTAATTGAACACTGTAGAGGTTGGCTTAAGTTGTGAAATGAGTTGTGGAAGCATTATTGGTAATTGAACATTGTAGAGCGTTGGCTCAAGTTGTGAATCAAGTTGTGAAGTAATTGTAAGAGGTTTATGATATTGTCTCCCTTGCCGGGATGTTATTGCTTTTGATATCATCTCCCTTGCCGGGATGTTATTGCTTTTGATATTATCTCCCTTGCCGGGATGTTATTACTCATTATATTGTTTCCCTTGCCGGGATATTGTTGTTATGCTATTGTTCCTTTGCCAGGATTCTATTGTGATTTTATTGATTCCCTTGCCCGTATTGCTTTGTGATTGTTGCTTGGGTAAGGAAGAGTGTAAAAGCTCGAAGGGTGATGCCGTGCATGATATTTGTGAGAGAGTGTTAATGCATGAAGGGTGATGCCGTGTCGATATTGTGAGGTTAAAGCACGAAGGTTGATGCCGTGCCGCACGATGTACAATGCCGTGCCATGATATGAGTGATAATGCACGAAGGATAATTCCGTGCCATGATTATGTGAGGTAAAAGCACGAAGGGTGATGCCGTGCCGATTATATTGATTCTTATGGTGAGGACGAGAGTAAAAGCACGAAGGGTGATACCGTGCACTTGTCCTTGATTTTCCTAATTCTTGTTGATAATTGCGTTATGGTGTTCTTTACGTTTATTTATTGGTTTTCTGTGGTTACTTGATTTTATTGTGATGTTTTTGATTCCCTTACCAAATTGCTTTGTGATTTTTGCTTGGGTGAGGAAGAGTGTAAAGCACGAAGGGTGATGTCATGCATGATTTTGAGAGTGTAAAGCACGAAGGGTGATGCCGTGCACTTGTCCTTGATTTTCCTGATTCTTGCTGATAATTTAGTTATGTGTTCTTTACGTTTATCTATTAGTTTTCTGTTGTTACTTGATTTCCCCCGCAATATGTTTTCCCCCTCCTATCTTTACCTGTAAATTTCTGCCTTTATTTTTTCGCTGTATATGAATTAACTGCACAGGTTTATTTGGTAGTCTGGTCCTAGCCTCGTCACTACTTCGCCGAGGTTAGGCTAGGCACTTACCAGCACATGGGGTTGGTTGTGCTGATACTACACTCTGCACTGTGTGCAGATCCCGGTGCTATAGCTTTTGGACCACAGTGAGGTTGTTACTTTCAGTCCATCAGGCGACCCGAGGTAGTCCTGTAGGCGTCCACAAGCCTTGGCGTCTCCTTCTATCTTTCCATACTGTTTCTTTTACGTACTTCAGAAACAGCGTTGTATTTATCTTTCGGACCCCTATTTATAGTATTCTTAGACAGTTTGTAAGATTGTGACACCAATTCTGGGTAGCTTATGTTTATGGATTAGTATCGGTATTATTATTAAATTGTTACATTTCATTCTTCCGCTTTATTACTTCTGCTGTTTAGATAATGTTTATTCACAATTGTTAAAAGATTAAAAATGAAAAGGGTTAAATAAGTGGAATAATTAGCTTGCCTAGCTTTCACTAGTAGGCACCATCACGACTCCCGAGGGTGGGAAATCCGGGTCGTGACAAGTTGGTATCAGAGCTCTAGGTTGCTTTGGTCTCACAACTCACGGACAAGCTTAGTAAAGTCTGAGGGATCGGTACGAAGACGTCCTACAGAGTTAGGAACAATTTCACTTCTATTCTTCTCTGTCATGCGATTTTGTTCTCTCACTACTAAATTGAAACCTCTACTCTTGTCCTTTCACGAATGGCGAGGTCACGTACCGCTTCTTCAGCCGAGCAGCAGCACAGACTGGGGATGGATCAGCTACGTCTTCGGAGGCTGTGTGGAGGTTGGATAGGTTTCACCAAGCTCTTCACTACTACTCTTGGTGGTACATCTTCTGAGGATCCCCAGGATTATTTGGACAGCTATCATGAGGTTTTACGGAACATGGGGATAGTGGAGACCAATGGGGTCGACTTTGCTGCTTTTCGTTTGCCTGGATCCGCCGAGACTTGGTGGAGAGATTATTGTTTGGCTAGACCAGCTGGGTTACCAGCTTTGACTTGGGATCAATTTTCTCAGCTATTTCTGGAGAAGTTTCTTCCTATCACTCAGAGGGAGAACTATCGGAGGCAGTTTAAGTGTCTCTAGCAGGGTTCTATGACTGTTACTCAGTACGAGACCAGATTTATTGACTTGGCCCGTCATGCTCTTATTATACTTCCCACCGAGAGAGAGAGTGTGAAGAGGTTCATTGAGGGACTCGTTTATCCTATTCGACTGCAGATGGCTAAGGGGACGGGGAGCGAGATTTCTTTTCAGGATGCGGCCAATGTGGCCAGGAGAGTGGAGATGGTTCTATCACAGGGGAGTGGTCAGGGGTCTGACAAGAGGCCTCGTCGTTCGAGCAGGTTCAGTGGCGCTTCATCTGGAGGCCGAGATTCTTTTGGTAGGGGCCATTCTTCCAGGCCATTTCATTCAGCACTTCAGGCTTCTCACGGTGCTCCAGGTGGCCGTGGTTCTCATATGCAGTATTCCGATCAGTTGTCCTACAGTGCACCACCAGCTCCTATCAGTGCACCGTCGCTCCAGAGTTTTCAGGGTAGTCATTCAGGCCGTCAGGGTCAGTAGTCTCAGCAGCCGAGGGCTTGTTATACTTGTGGCGATACGAGGCATATTGCTAGATTTTACCCTCAAGCACCGAGCAGCTCTCAGCATCAGGGTTCCCGTACCATGGTTCAGGCACCGA